GTGGGCAAATGAGGGTGCAACATGAGATGCAAAGATTGCAACTTGCTCATGCTAGGATAGCAGCACCAAGGTGTGAATGGACTGATTTTGTATACCCAGCGGATAAGGCGCAAGGCGATGCTTCTGATGATGATTCTGAGGAGAGTATAAAGGAGTAGATTGAAAGTTCAGTTGTGTTTTTATTTAATGTTGTCAGTGTAGTTTGTTTTTGTTGTTTTGTTTTGATGTACTTGGTTTTTTTTTTTTTTTTTGTTACCGTTTGTTCATTAAGTCTTTGTGAACTCTTATTACATTGTTATTGATAATGCTCTTTATATCCATTATTTTTTTTTTTCTGTATAACAATGATGGCTGACAAGGTCTGTTTAGTGTTTTTTTTTTTTTTTTTAAGAACAAATTTGGCGTATACGAACTGGACAGCCTTATTACATTGAGGAATGTGATAACGTTCTCTTTCTCTTGTTTCTACTCTTAACATTGAGGAAATGTTGATTTTTTTTTGTTGGGGGTAGCAAATTAAGGAATTTAAATTGAGCAGAATTTTTTTTTTTTTTGGATTTAGAGAGCAGTTTTGTTTGTTCTTTTGTTTTATGTTGTGAGTTTAATTTTTTTTCTCTTGGATGAAGTTATATGTCTATGATAGGGATGTGATTGCAGTAACATAGAACTAATGGAGGACATTAATTTTTACCTTTAATTACGGATGTTTGTAAATGTTAATGACATTTAGTTTGAGACCCTAGTGATATGTGGATTGAAAGTGGTTCAGTTTACCTACTTAGAGATGTATTATGTGTGAATTTTCCATGAACATTGTTGCGATCTCAACAAACTCTATAACTCATTTGACAACTACTCAAGGCGAAATCCTAGAGTTCACATCACTTAAGAAATGATTTAGGCTGTTTTTGGACCGATTGAGCCTTTCAAGCCAACCTTTTTTAGTGTCATCACTAGTTAACCCTTTGAGCCTTTAAACACAATTTAGCCTTGTTTTGTTTTCTTTATTTGAACTTAATGTTTACCCTACCCTGATTATGAGCCTAAAACGCAATCCGACCCATGTTATCTTTAAGATAATTTTTATTCAAGCTTAGTAAGAGTAATGGTGCGGAAGTGTAGTTTTGCCACAACCCAGGTTTATGCGAAGAAATTGGTTGGGGGTTGTGGAGTGCTTGTAAGATCAGTGGGATTGTATGTGTGTTTTCTACTTTCTTCTTATTAAGTATCTTTTAAAAAAAGCTCAAAAAAAAAAAAAAAAAAAAAAAAAAAAAGAAAAGTGGGCGTTGAAAAGCATTGTGAAGAGTAGAATTATGAATGGGTTTATAGTATTGTCAAAAAGAAAAAGCTCGATAGAGGTTGGGAAACTATTGAGTGAAAAAGGGAAGTGTTGTGTATGATAGTAATAAGATTGAATAAAAATTAAGTCTCTTAATTTTTTTTTTTTTGTTAATTTCCCTTTTCGTTCCTTCATGAACTCATACCCTAGCCTAACGTTACAACCTTTACAAAAACCTATTGATCCACGGTAATGTGAAATTCTACATTAGTGGCGAGTGGTTTGAAAAGTGAGCCTATGAAGTTTGATTCCATGATTCACATATAAGTCATAACCCGAATACTAATATCAAAATCTTATTCATGAATTTTATGCATAAAACTATCCAAGTTTGTAGACTAATGGTTTGTGGTTGTATGGATGTTCTAGGGTCAATAACGAAAACGAAATTGATGTTTGCATTGTCTATGAGTTTACATGATTTTTAATTATTCTATTTGTTTTGTGTATATGCGATTTTTGAGACACTTCTATGAATTGATCCAAGAATTTTTGTTAGCTTAGTTCTTTTTATGTTTATTTTTATTTTTGGAGTTCATGTTAAGTTTAGTGTGGATGTTTATGGGTATCATCGCTGGAAACCCTCACGAGACTACAACACATCCGACTAGGGCCGCTTAGGGGTTTAAAGGCTTGTTGCATACGCTAAATGCTATCGTGTCAATCTACGAAAGTGATTTAGGAGAGTTTAGATATAGGTTTTAAATTAGTTGCTTTATTTTCAAGCTTAGAGACTTATTCTATCGTTTAGTTCGCTAGGGACTAGCAAACAGCTGGTTGGGGGTTGTGATAAGAGCTTGAAAGTTTATATTTTGTTAGTGATTTAATTATATTATTTATGGAAAAATGTGTTTAAATTGTGGTATTTGAATAAATTCTTTCATAAATACCTTTTATGGGATCACGGGTGTATTTTGAGTATTTTCAAGTTCAAACAGATATGTGAAGGAAAAATAATGATGTTGATGGAATTCATGACACGTAGGAACAAATGGTACAAGAATCGGAGTTAAAACGAGAAAGTTGTGACGCGTCGAAGATATAACGTAAAATCTGGAAATCCTTCAAGATGAGCGTGCTTTGATTTTTTTGTCATAACTTGAGCTGTAGAAATCAGAATTTGACGATTCTAGTGGCGTTGGAAAGCTTATTCAGAGAGCTACAAAGTTTATGTTGATAAATTTACCAAATTCTGAAGATCATGAATGCCTTGGATAGAAAGAACGATCATCGCAGTAACTGTTCTTACCGCCGCGGCGATGGGTCACGGGCTTATTATGTTAATGCATTATCCTAATCCTAATCTGAATGGGCTAAGGCATTTACTCTTTTCCTAAGTAAGATCAAAACCCTAGGATATAAAGAAGGGTCTTTAAGAAGTTTTTAGGGAGTTTTTTTGGAGAGAAAGAAAAGGACGGCTACTAGTTTGGAGATCAAGATTCTTGAAGCTCTCGTTCAACAATTAGATAAGTGTTTATATTTTTTTTTTCTTGAACTCATGTCATTTAATAGAATGATGGTTTTTATTATTGCAATTATGAACTAAAACTCTTTTCTAGGGCTAAAGATGTAGCCCAATTTATGAATATGTGTTAACGTTATCTTTATTGATTTCTTATTGAGCATTAAGTCTAAGTTTTATTATTGTGTGTAATACTTTCAATTCTTAAGGATCCGAGGGTTGAATGATATCCTGGGTTGGGTTGAGATCGAGAGATGAAACTCGATTTGTCAAAGGTAATAAAACCATAGATTGAGCGAATGCTAGAGATAGGTTACCGCGATTTGTGAGGCTCTGGTAAATTTCATAGAACTTAATGATCTTTTAGCTTCTAAATCCAACTTAGAGATATTTTGGGTTGTTGTTTAAGGGTTAATTCACTAATTGTTCGAGAGAAAATTAGGGGAATAATAGGGAGTTTGGCCTTTAGAATAAGCTTAAATAGGTTAGTAATGATTGTCAATACATAGGATTAAATTGGTGTGAAATATGTGCCCTAGGGTTTAGTCATATTGATTTTTATACCAAAGTTATTCTAAAATTCTGATTTCGTTTAGATTTTAATTTGTTTTCTTTTTCATTAAAGTCATTCATAAAATTCTGTTTCATCAAATAGCAATAAAATAGACTAGTTTGGTACTTGGTAGGTAGTTCTCTTGAGATTCGACACTCGTTTACTCGAGCTTTATTACTTGCACGATTTTGTACACTTCGAATAGTCTGTCAACAACATCTCATTTATATAGATTGCCTTTAACTAATAAAATAAACAAATAGATATCCCAACCTTAGAGTGAGGAGCTAACACTGACTAAGTCCCCCTTTATTTTAACTGAACTACTAAACTTTATTCTAGCTAAACTACTAACCACTCAAAATACCAATTCAACATAACATGTTACTGCCCATTACTGCCCTTCTTATATGCTGCATTTGTAAAAATCTAGTTATTGCTTGTCTTGTTATTATATATATATATGAATGAAATCATAAAAAGGCATAAACTTTGACGCTGATTCTTAAAAAAAAAAAAAAAAAAAGTGTATTGTTGATTTGATATATATCATGCTTTCTTTTTATGACAATATCAATCGATTTTATTATCTCACTTGGAATCGAGGACTGAGGAATGATACTTTTTTTTTTATACTATTTTTGGATGACCTAGTGATTCGATAGGAACTCTTGAGTGTATTACTCAATAGATCCTGAGTTTGAATCTCTCCTTAGTTGTTAATAGGGTAGCCACTGGAGCTCTTATTTAACAGGTAGTTTTAAAGTCCTAGAAAATTAGTTGAGATGCGCATAAGCTAGTCTAGGCACCCTCGACGATTAAAAAAAAAAAAATGATACATTTTAAGACACCAAGTAATTAAGAAATAAATGCTTGCTTTTATATGTACATATAATCTGGTTAATTTACTTGATACTTGATCCTTGATTTTTTATTTATTTATTTATTATTATTATTATTATTTTAGGTTTATACCCTATTCTTTTAATCCATTAATAAAAACATACATTAAAAAGCTAATTAATTTGGTCCGTGTTTGTTGGTTAACAAATTAATAATAGTGTTATATTCTTTAATCTGAATCCTCTGAATTTCCAGTTAGGTTTGAAGCACTATGCAGTCCATGTTGATTTCATAATTGCATTAAGAATGAAATTGGATCCATGACCCCACCCTGTTTGATGGATAACATGCACACGAATACTCTTTTATTACAAGAAGATACTTAATTGGATTAACTAGTCAAACCATTTCATTAATTGGAAGACTCATAAGATTAGAGATGTCTACGTGGACAAGATAATTTAAATGAGATAGGGTACCATTTATGCATCCAATCAAACCGTATTATACATATACATATACTGATTTTTTAAATCAACATGATTATTTTCTCATTACATATGTTAAAGGTATTTTTCACAAATAATAAAATAAAATCATAGAATTTATTATTTATTTTTACAGATAAAAGATAGCCAATTTCGTTAATATCCTCAAATATTAATTAAAGAGAATTATTAACTTATTAATTTATTATACCAGCAGCCACCACTTGATTCTAGTATCACGTGATAAACACGTGTTTTATTAAACGTATGACGTCAATGATCTTCCAGTTCACGCTTCAAGGGCGTAATCGTAAATTCATCCTGAAGCCTGGCTGAAACTGATGGGCAGAGAGAATTCCCAACTCGAGTACCAATTGAAGCCACCGCCAAATACAATCCAATCAATCTATGGTTTGATGACATCTGAATATTACGCAATATCTCGCCATTCTCTTATGTCTGGTATGTGAATTATTTTTTCATATTTTGGATTCTTTTACAGTTTCTTCTGTAGTCTACGGACAGCATTATTGTGTTTCTGCTTTTTCTTTCTTTTTTCTTAATCTTAATCTGCATTTGAATTTGAATTTCATGCTTGAGGTGTTTTTTTTTTTTTTTTTTTTTTTTTTTTTCAATTTTTGCTGTGTGAGCAGTGAGCCTTGTTATGGGTTTTACTTATTATTATTTTTTATTTTAAAAGAAGTTTTAGTTTTCTTTTTGCTTAAACACAGAATTTCAGTTGTAATGATGCACTGTTATGTTGCAAAATTTGATTAGGATTTCTGTACTAATTCGAAATGAATTGCGAAATGATTTGCTATTAAGAAGTGTCCCTTGGCCCCAGAATTTCCCTAGAGCAAATTTCATTTTGAGTTATGGTTGAACGCTTCCCGGTTTCATTTCTTTCCGTTATATCAACCAATTGGGTGCCATTACCTGTTACTGTTATTGGCTTCTTGCAGGAAAGTGCTGGTCTCTAATTTTTAACTGGAGATCAATGTGGTTGATAATATAGCTGTGTCATTTTAATATTTTATGTCGTCAGCTCTGCAACCAGGACTTCAAGAAATATGCAAAATAGAAAACCATATCAGATGTTGATATACATCCCTGTTTAGAAACCACCGAGTGAAGAAAGAGCAGACAAGCAGAAGAAAGATTCAATCTATTTATCTTTCTAAACCGTTTGTAGGTAAGTTTCAGAGCTGAAAACAGAAGTCCTGTTAACTTAACACCCATGGGTTGATGGATTTCATACAAGTGGTTACACTCTTATAGGACCTCACTTCCCTTACCGGTAGTATATTCACTTTCAGATTATTCCCAATTTAAAAACCTGGGATTTACTTTCTCCTTTGTGGTTGGCCTTCTCTAATCTTTGTAAGCTTGTTTTTCATGCATTATCTTCTGTTATTGGCTTGTTGCAGATGATTACGGCTTTGGGTTGGTGTGAACTGTTAAGCAATTGCCAAAGTGAGATTGACAGTTGGAATCTACTCTATTATTTTCAATGTGTTCAAATACTATCATTTTCTATAAATAGCTTTAATGTCAATCTTCTTTTCAGATTGCTAATGGGGACAAAAAGTGTTAGAAAGCGTTCCAGAAATGAAGATTCGGATAAACTTACAGTTCCACCAGGTTTCATGTCTCGTACATCCTTCCTATTGAAGAAGGTAGAAAATTGTGAGGAATCATGCAATACATCCAAAGATCCGGACCAGACAAACACTGTATCGGGTACGGTTGATGATGCCACACTAAAGACATCTTGTAGGAACAGACCTTGGATACTTTATGAACAGAACAATCTGAATAAAGTGGAATCTGAGTCTGGCCAACCTGTTAAGGTTAGATATCTTTTCTTTCTCATTAATACTACACATACAACATTTTTATACAACATGATGTGGCAAAAGATAACTAATTAATTTTAAATTAAAAATAAACTTTCACTCAATCATCTTTTGTCACATCATATTGCATGAGAAATGTTGTATGAAAATGTTGTATGTGTAGTATTACTCTTTCCTTTTGGGGAATTCTGTAAAAGTACATTCGTAAACTGCAATTTTTATCATGTAGATGACACTTGGGTCTGTGTGGGTGAGTTAAGGTTAGGTTGGGCTGGGGTAGGGACCTGGAGAGGTTGATTTACATGCATATATTCACAGAATGGAGAGAACATACTTTCACAAATTACCTTTACAAAATTGTATTGTAGTCATAAATTATGTGGAAATGATTAAATGAAGTTGTTGAGATATGAATGATAAGAGAAGAAAGGTTTGGCTCTTAGATTGAGGCACTTCAGTAGGTTGATCAGTGAGAGATGTGCTGAAACAGAAGACCAAGGACTACATCAATAAAAAAAACTCTTGAGTTTTATTGATTTATTTGTTTGTGTCAGGCAATCGTGTATTTGTAGATATTCTAGATGGTAGAAAATGGCAATGGGGTTTTTGTGTAGCTGTCCTAATGTTGCTAGAATGTTGCTCTTTGGGGTAGAGTTGAGCTGCATTCATGAAATGAATGATTTGTTGGAAGAAATAGTGGTTTGAATGGAAATTATATTAAATCTAGTTTTTATCCATAGAATGCATCAAAACTTCTGAGTTTATTTTTTATGATCAAAGCATTTGACTAAGGTAGGGAATTCAGACATTTGGTATTTTATAAATTAGTTTAGTCCTTATGTAACTTTGAAATTGGAACACTTCTATGAGAGGGAAAATCTCCTGTTTTTTCGCTAAAATGAAGGAATGCTCTGAGGATAATTACATAAATAACTGGGTTAGTTTATATTTTCTATGTTTGATTTAAGTTGTAATCGTTATGTAATATATTTTTGACAGGAACTCTCTTCAAAAACTTGTCTTCCAAAAGGTGTTACCCGTGGTTGCCCAGATTGTGATGATTGTCTGAAGGTTCATTTTCATTTATTAAATGATTTATTTTCTGTTTCAATTTTATGAGTTGTAAATTTCAGTACATTCCCACGACAGTTCTTTCTTATGCTTTGGTGTTCATGGAACAATTAATTAAAATTTGAAACAGGTGACTGCAAGGTGGTGTCCTGAAGATGCAAAAACAGATGTCATTGAAGAGGCTCCTGTTTTTCACCCAACTGAAGAGGTCTCTCTTTTGTAACTGTAATAAGTGAAGTTTGAACAGTATACTGGCTCTGCTTCGATTTCTGTTTGATGTTAAGAGTGTTCTGCACATTTATACTTGTTGAGGGAGCTTGAATTTTATATGCAGGAATTTAGTGACACACTTAAGTATATCGCAAGCATACGTCTCAGATCAGAACAATATGGAATATGTCGTATTGTTCCTCCTCCTTCTTGGAAGCCACCATGCCTTCTAAAGGAAAAAAATGTATGGAATAGCTCTACATTTGTTACCCAAATTCAACGGATTGATGAGCTACAAAATCAGTATTTGCAGAGCGAAGCAGCTAAAATTGATCAAAATATGAATGGCAAAATGGGAAGGACCTTGAGAGCTTGTTTAGGGTGTGGGGTTGGTAATGGATGTGGCATGAACTCGGATGAAGTTGGATGCTTCAATGTTGAAGGCTTTGAATCTGAACCTGGACCAGAATTTACTCTTGAAAGATTTAAGAAATATGCTGAAGATTTCAAGGACCAGTATTTTTGCTTGAAAGATATGGTTAAGAGTGTGGATGCCAATTCCACAGTGTTTCAAGAACAGTCAGAACCATCAGTGGAGAACATTGAGGGTGAATATAGACGAATTGTTGAGAATCCATCAGAGGAAATTGAGGTATGTAGGGAAAGGATATAATGAGTTCATTGAGTTTATAAACTTTCTGTATTATTGGGCATTTCTTTTATCATGCTAGTGCACTGTTGTAGGTGCTTTACGGTTACAATCTGGATACTAGGAGTTTTTGCAGTGGATTTCCAACTGTATTTAATTCTTCGGAAACTTCAGACTACCAGAAGTATTTGAAATCAGGCTGGAACTTGAATAACGTACCTAGGCTTCCTGGTTCTCTTCTCTCTTCTCATAACTGCCATACTTCTGGTTTATTGGTACCTCAGCTATGGATAGGAATGTGTTTTACTTCAGTTTGTTGGGTAAGATTTAATTATTTTCCTCTGCCTGGGAATAAATTGATAGTTCCATGATATTTTAGATTTTAGTTGCACATCTGAGTTCAATTATATCATCTTCATGCTAAGCACTTTATGGTGATTGTTATAGATCTTGAAGTATTTCTAATGCTCTGTGAATAATGAATTTTGTAGGTTGTAGCTATCTTATACATAGTTCTTTTTTTCTCTCATATTTTAATTATTGCTACAGAGTTCTTTATTTCCTTCCATTTTTTGGTTCTTGCTTTTAATTATCCAATTGGTCTTGGAAAGCAGAAAGTTGAAGAGCACTATTTATACTCACTCTGTTATATGCATATGGGTGCGCCTAAAATTTGGCAAGGCATCCCAGGGAGATATGCTGTCAAGTTTGAAACTGCTAGGAAGAAGTACGTTCGAGATTTGTTATTTGAACAGTCTAAGTTGCGTGATAGGATGGTGAGTGGTCACCTCTTTATTTATCACTTTGTGTAAGAAAAAAGCTTCTGTTCAATAAAGTTGTGTTATTTTATGTATGTTTAGTACTACTTTGTTGGCATGCTTTTCCCCTAGAATGAGGCAAGGACATCATAGAGAAATTTTGTGAGTGATACTCTGTTAAATACTTGTTTCTGCTTCCAACATGTTTTAAAGTATGATTTCTGACATTCCTCCACCCTTTACAGTATTTTTTGGCTTAAGAAACTGGAAAACTTTGTGGATACTAAATATAAACTTTGAAACACAAGCAGTGATTTTTGGTCCCTGTGTGTCTCTGTGTGTGTGTGTGTGTGTGTATAGAAACAAAGAAAATTGTAATAATGGAAGGGAGAATTTACGGAAAAAAATATTTAAGAAGTTGAAGAACCTTCATGACACTTGGTAGATGCCAACAAAGAAGATCTTTTTGTTACAGCATAATACTGTTTCCATCCTTTGAACAATTTGTTAATTATTATTGTGAAAACATGTGCATGTCAATGCAGACAAAAAGAAGCCGTTTCTGCAGATTCTCTAAATGAAGTTATTGCTAATAATGTTTAAGCTTCACTATAGGAGCTGTCACTGTTACCATAAAGGTTCATCATTTTAGTGGCCACTTGCTAAAGTTATTATATGAGAAAAAGAGAAGAAATTTGAGATTTTATTACTGGACGTTATTTTATAGTCAGAAGAGTTCTTTGATGTTATGAGGTTCAAAATATTTGAAACAGGTCACAAAACTATCTCCTTCCACCTTGAAGTCTGAGGGTATACCCGTTTATCGTTGCATTCAATATCCTGGAGAGTTTGTTCTGGTCTTTCCTGGAGCGCATTATTCGGGATTTGACTGTGGCTTCAATTGTTCTGAGGCAGTAAATTTTGCCCCCATTGATTGGTTACATTGTGGTCAGAATGCTGTAGAACTCTATAGAGAACAGCACAGAAAGACATCTATTTCCCATGATAAGCTATTACTGGATGCAGCCAGGGAAGCTGTCAGGGCACAATGGGAAATTTTGCTGTTAAGTAAGAACACCTTAGAAAATTTAAGGTGGAAGGATGCTTGTGGAAAGGATGGGATCTTAGCAAAGGCACTAAAGGTAAGCCCTTGGCTTTCAATTCTTCCCTTCCTGTTTGTGGTCTGAACTATTCTGCCTTAAGGGTATTGAAGTAATTGTCAAATTCGCTTCCCCGCTGGGGCAAGTAGAGGCATTATTTTTGGATTCTTTTTTGACGCAACTGCATTTTGCTTTACCTGTCAATACTTGTCTTTCGAGCAATTAGCCTGATTAAGTGTTTTTACAGAGGATTTTACTTTCATTTATTTATCTGTGCTTTCTTTCTTTATCCATTTTCTCTCTTTTGTAGTCACGTATCAAGTCAGAAAGCAACAGAAGAGAGTATCTTTGCCCCTATTCACGATCAAAGAGGATGGGTGAAGACTTTGATGTTTCCAGCAAAAAGGAATGCAGCATATGTCTCTACGATTTACACCTTTCAGCGGTGAGTTGTCCCTGTTCTGCCAACATATATTCTTGCCTAAATCATGTAAAGCAGCTCTGTTCTTGTGCTTTGAGCGAAAAGATTTTTCTATTCCGCTACGAGATCAGTGAGTTGGATGTTCTTGCTGAAGCTGTGGAAGGAAAACTAAGTGCAGTCTACAGATGGGCTAGAAATGATCTTAAGCTTTCTCTTCACTCTTCTGTTTCCAGAGATGGTTTACATCCAAACTCTCAACCGGAAGATTCAAAACAGAAAGAGCAGAAATCCCTAGATGCTGCTACATGTAATGGCTTTGGGAAGAAGGCCTTCTCTAGCATCAAAGAAGAAATGAAGGCACGGATGCTTAAAAAAAAATGCTCAAGTTCTGGACCAAAAGAAGAAGAGAAAACTTCAAAACCTTCCGTTGTTTCAAGCAGAACTGCAGAAAATAGTTCCCTTTTAAGCAGACAGGAGGTGTTAGAAATCTCTTCTGAAGAAGATAGTTCTAGTATCTCATCCTCAGAGTCTGAGGAGACATGAGATCTTGATTTCAGTTTGGGAAAAAGACACGATCCTTAGCTTCAATCGAAAATAATCATGGCCTTCCTGAAACAGATTTCTTCATCGTGACTTTTAAAATGTATTTCTGGTGAGTACAAGAGGGAATACTCTGTTTGAGTTCAAAGTTGAGCATATTAAAGCTCCAAGAAGAATTTGATTCTTACTGATGTTTAGGGTGACTAATCATGTGAACAAATCTGCCGACCGTACATTACAGTACATTCAACATAATTTTCATACCAAAAGAAAAACTTCCTTGATCAATATGAACAAATTAGCTGAAACAGAGGATGAATATGCAACAGCAGCTTAAGGCACATACATAATTTTGCTAATGGCGCACTGTTAGATGATAGATGCTTCTAAAGAAGTTGTATACTTTTGTTCTTAGTTCTCATATACAGATTGTAATCCTCTTCAACACTATGTAGTAATGAAGTATATTTGAGCAGTTCATATTTTGAGTAACTTGGTCTACTTTTTTCTACATCACACAAGTTTTTTGTCATTGGTTTAGTTAATTGGATTTTGTTTATCCTTTTGAATTTTGATTACTTTCTTTGTTCAACCTTGTTTTCCGCTTGCGATTTCTTCCATTTATCATCTCAGCGACATATGCTACGGGCAACACCAACACATTTCAGAATTCATATTACACCTCAATGAGTTGGGAGTGTAATGGATTGTCTTTTTCATTCGATTAGACAAGATTCACATCATCAGAAAAGTATGTGATTCACTAACCTCAAATTATTTAACAGACGTGATTTATCGAAAGTTTCCACATTCATCAATTATTGAGATCTAAGTTAGGTATATTCCAGATTTCAACTTTCACTTTTTTCTTCTCGTGATAATGACGAAAACCCACATGTAGTAATGATTCTTGTAAGCCAAAAAGAAACCAGTTTCTCGTTTCTAATGAATACAAACTCACACACTTTCTCCATAGACCTGTAATTCTTTTGTAATGATATTTTCCCTTTAATCTATTTGTTATTTATAGCATAATAGTAAAGCTCTAAGGGGAGTACAAAGAACCAACCAATCGGGTGATTAAAAATTTTAACAGAAACAAAGAATCGTGCCACAGCTAATACTCAGAATACCCACAAGGAAGGCTGCTACACAAATCAAAGGCCAGCTGAAACTAATCCGTGCAAAGTGATAATTCCAATCAATAAATTTTGGTCATTAATCACAGGCAAAAATTGTACAGGAGATGGTGGTGATTCCATCTTCTGCATGGCTTCCACTGCCATTGCATCTGGGCCTATTGCTCTTGGGTTCCTGATAATAAAAAAAAACAAAACAAAAAAAAAACATGAAACAGTTGTAAGCTTCCATTAATTGCAAAAGATGGGTGTGCGCATATAGGTGTTTCCACTTTCCACCCACTTAATTATTGATCACCTTTTGCTCATTGTCATTGAGCAAAATGGTGAGAAACTATAAGCTTCCATTACTAAAATTATACAAACTACATTGGAATTTTCAAGCTGCTATATAATGTAATCTGTGGTGCACAAGTGAGGTAAATCTCTATAGTGAATAAAACAAAATGAATTAAATATCAGTTCATTTACCTGTTACACATTTCACCCACAGTGAGCTTAAAGATGCCCTCTCCACTAGCCTTGAGAGTGCGCCGCAAATCACCATCGGTAAATGTCCCAATCAGGTGATAATTTTCATCAATAACAAGCAGACACCCACATCCTTTACTGGTGAGTTCCACCAACTGATCCATTATCATATCTCCCTCTTTACAAACTGGAAGCTCATCCTGTTTCTTCATCACATCTTTCACCTGCACCCCCAAACACACACACCGACAACTAAATAATCACTATCACATTATTACCAATCCAATAAGAAAACACCTAAGATCAAGCACAACTAGGAGATCTAAAACTCAAATAGTTACATACACAATTTCCAAACTTTTGGTGGTAAAATTTCACTTTCAAAGGTACTGCTACCCAAATTAAACAATTAACCGAGTAATTGAAATGAATAAGTCCTAAATTTACCCAAATGCCAAAAGATTATCTACAGCAACTTATACATTGCATATAAAATCAGTGGAAAATTCAAATTCAATCAATAACATATCAAGTCTTCATAAAAGATCCACAAATTAATCCGAATCTGACCTTAAAAATCAAGCTTTTTCCGATCCTTCCAGCCGGATGATTAGCTGCATACTCTTCTTTGCTCAAATTCCTAGCGCCCATCATAGCAATCGCCACCGTGTCCCCAAACACCATCTGAATGGCCGTCGACGTAACCGGCGCCAAATCAAACGGACACAACTCCCTCTCAACCGGCAAATGCACGTTCATATCACAAACATTCGCAAGCGCATTACCCTCAACCGAAGTCACCGACACCAGATACGCACCCTTAGCCTTGGCGCACGGGACGACTCTCAACAACTCCTCCGTGTTTCCGCTCTTACTAAACAGAACCAAAACGTCTTGATCGTTCAAGATCCCGATATCGCCGTGAAGGGCGTCAACAGGGTTGAGAAAACTGGACTTGATGCCGAGAGAGATCAATGTCTGGGAGATTTTGTTGGCGACGAATCCGGACTTACCGACACCTGTAAAATAGATTGTACCCCGACATTTGAGGAGGGTTTGGGTGAAAGACAAGGTTTGAGGCAAGGAAAGGTGTTGGAAAAAGTAGTTAAGGTGGTTTTGTTGGGATTTGAAAAGGTTTAAGAGGGTTGTTTCAGAGATTTTGGGAGATGGGAAGTCTAGAGATGGAGGGAGAGAGCCCATTGTTTGTTGTTTGGGTTTCGGATCTACTAGTGTATAGTAGAAGACAATGATATTTAACGGGAATGGCGGGGTGGGAGTTTGGTAAATGCCGTTATTTTTCGCGGTAATGATGTGAACGAAGAAACTAGAAAGTGATTTCATGTCGGTGGTGTGATAAGGTTTTTGCTGGCATTAAATATGCTGATTTTTTGAAAGAATGGATTGGATGATATTTGTTTCTATTTTCATTTACAAAATGGAAATTTTGTTTTAAGGAAACAAAATTTTTATTTATGTAAGACCAATTTTTGGCACTTCTTCACTTGCAGCTTGCAATGGTTAGTTCAAATAGTGGTGTGATGAACTGGAAATTATATAATAGTAAGAGCCCAAATCAAATTGAGCTTTGTGGGCTTTAGTAATGCCGAATTACCCATTAACAGGGTTTAGTTGGGTCGGGCTCAATAACTCAGCCCAGACCTAAAACTAATAATGTCAAAACATAACTTCGTATAATTCGAGATTGGGAGTTCCACACATTTGAAATTAAAAATACATCTTTCCCTATAAGATGAACCTTGTGCTAAAGTGAAAGGTTAACCAACAGATTACAGAGCTCTAAATGCACAAAAGAAAGGGTTCATGTGTTGAGAAAACATGGTTGTGCTTTTTGGGGCAAGATTAATGTTGAAGAGGAACAAGGACCCAACAAAGGCTATGGAGTAAACAGTATTGGGCCTGTAGAGAGGTCCGCAATTCCAAACAGTATGAGAAAGAAAATTATTGAGACACAATCGGCAATGAGCACATACAGTAGAACAGAAACAAATAATTTCATATTAACGAACCCTCGTTATTACTGAAACATGTACATATGTCAAATTTACATTAAATCATATTTATTGTTCTATTGCATGATGGATCCTCTTTACGTAAAAGATAAGTTTGCATAGTTTCTTTTTCTTCCGATCAATTAAATCTATGCCTGGCTCTAGCTGTCTTAGTAATTAATTATACGTCTATCATTTTCTTTCTTTCACAGTCAATCAAGTTTTCTTATATCGGTGACAGAGTTGACTGGTCTGAAGTCTGAACACAAACAATGACTTAATTAAATTAAACCCATCTGTCTTTCTGGTGCGGTCCATCATCTTCAAGATTCAAAAGTTTCTCTGAATGATTGGTCCACTTCGTAAATCAGTATTGGCCTGATAGTTGATAATATCAATCAACTTCAAATTCTAATTAATATATATTATAGCTCTTTGCTTCAAACTTAATATGCACATAATACAAATATTATTCGTTTTAAAGTATATATGCTCACATTACATATTAAGACTACTGTGTGCCCTAAGATTGTAAACATTAGGGTTTTCTAGATTTCTGAAGTTATAAATGCTTACATGCTCCTATCCAGCATGAAATTCAAAGATATGTATAGCGTGGTACATCTCTATAAATGGCAATTTGTGAATGGCATTGACTGAAAAAGTAAAAGCTAAGTTAACCATAGATTTAGCAAGATCAATGACCAATTAACTAAAGGGCTGAAGACTGCCAAAGACAAGCAGGGCCCGACGTTAATTGCCCTTGCTCTTTACCACACTCACAATGTAGATTTGCCTAAGCTTGCTTACTCATGCATGCTAATTTGTACAATAAGGTATCAGATATTCCCATCCTTATAAATAATCAGACTGAGTTTTCATTTTGGAAGTATATGTGAAAGTGAGTAAAAATAAGAAAACAAAACGCGGGCTGTTAATCTTGACTGAAAAGCGCTATTGAAGACAAACGGATAGCTGCTGAGAATTCGTCATCTTTCTATGGAAACAGAACTACTACAAAATCAACTGATAAAAAACAGTACAAATTACAGTCTTAAGAAGCAAGCTGCCTACAACAGACACGTGGTAAACAGTTGATGAACTGCGTGGAACGGAAGTGGCAGGGTCCAATCTACATCAGATAATACATTTATATAAATGCGATTAATTGACCCGCTCTGCATTCTGCCAAAAATCAAAGCATGCGGTTGAAGAAGGGGCCCCCTCTCTCCTCCTTTTTTCTTCATTGAGTGCATGTGCATCCTACCTAAGCTTTGGTAGCTAGTAATTGAATTGAAACTGATGTTGGACTGGACAAGTTAAACGTCTGATAAAAATAGAGTTTCCGTTTACGGCTGGTCCATCTCTGTCAATGTCAATCATTCAAACCAAAACAAAGTTATTAGGTAGCTAGATGAATATAATTATATGGGAGACATCTGAATCTCGTTTGGCAATGAGAACAGACTTAAAGCTTAAATGGGAAGAAAAGGAAACTATTAAGTCTGCGTCAACGACAATGGACTTCGATTTCTGTGCTTTTTTGTCATTTCTGAATACACCACTTCAATAATTGTCCACACTTGGTTGCTTCTGCTAGAGAAACTATCCAGCTGTCGTATTAGTTTGTAATCCATTCCTAGGGGTGGTGACCTTATAATATAGGAGTAACTATTATTTAACTCCTTTTTGTCTTTCGGGGTAAAATAAGTGGAGTTTGTTTTTACTTAAAGAAAAAAGAATTAAGTGGGACCCATGTAGAATCTCACATTCTTATAAAGCCACGGCAGTTGCTTCAATGTGACATGACATCTGCGAAAATATTATTTATACTTTCAAGAAAACAAAAGGAAATTATTTTACTATTTCTTTACTTCAAACTTTAAAACAAAATGTCCGTATGATAAAGTATTTTTTATGTAAATCAAACCGCTAAAAGTGGAATGTATGGACCCATCCCACCAACAACGTCTAAGATTTTGACTGTTTTGGACCCCATTTAGGTAATTAAAAACATTAAAAAAGAGATTAAAGGTGATGATGAGGACGCGACAAGGATCCTGTACGGTCCACACACACCGAGGGCAAATTGATCCTACCGTTAAAAGATGGGAAATTAGGTGTGGTTGGCGCCTTGGCGGTGAGATTAGTAATGTGCTGTGGTAAATTTTAATAACAGTAGGCTTTAAGTAAGTACGTGTCACAGTAGCCGACATAAATGACAGGTTTGCACGTGGGGCTAGCACGGTTGGTGGGGTCCTGGGTCAAATCAGGGACCCACCTGTATATTTTTGTCAAATTAAACGTCCCGTCGGATTGACCGTAGAATGCGGGATTCTCGTACGAGTGAGTGATTTTGAATTTTGTGTATTGCGATGCTGCCTATTCTTGGTAATTTCCAATTGCATGGAAGGAGATGGAATTACCCAAACATATTTACCTCGTTTGTATAAATTTTTACCATTCAAATACAAATACATAATGTTGGTCGTCCCCGTCCTCAACGGGTAATTATTTTCTGACATTGTTTTAATATGGATTCAATTTGTTTTGCCGTAAATACTTATAATCACCATCGATGGAGGGCAAAACATAATTTTAATCTGAAGAAAATCATGGTAAATTGACGTCTTCATCAATCACTTTTTTACAATTTCTAAAATATTTGTTAGAAAACTTAATTCAGAATTTACGGAGAACTTTTTCTTGAACTTTGTCAAAAAGCTCTACTCCAGAATAATATTATATCATTCATTGAAAGAAGACAAATCTTAAGTCCGTCTGTATTAAAAGTATAGATAAAGTGAACTGAAATCAAATTGAATCGAAAATGTGTTGGATTAAAATAAATGTAAAAAGAATAGGGAAAATGGAGAAGCTTGACACTCAATTTGGAGGGCTGGGATCTTGCGCGGGTGTGAAAGGATGTGCTAATCCGGTGTGGGGTTGTTTATGCAAAGAATTGAAAAGTTGTGTTTAGATCTTTTAACTGCGAAGTGCAGTAAGTTAGTGTGGCAGGAGGGACCTTCTTTAACAGAGAGAAGGGTGCATGCATAAGTTTAAATCAATGATTCATCACACACTATATTGGGAAGGTAAATTTTGGCAGACTTACTGCCACCCAAATTAACCCTCATTTCCATTTTCTACAGTTGCCGCAGTGGCTGACACCAGCAGCTAGCTAGTACGTATGCCACTATATTATCACATCACTCCAGAATTTGCTAGAAAATTTCATTTGATTTTACTCTTCATTTCCTTGTTTATTCTCTACGTATATATCCACTGCCACTCCTTCTTCACCAGAAGTTGCTTTAATTTCAAAATTAAATGAATCACGGTGGACCTGTTAAAGCTTAAACATTACTGTTTACTGGGTCAGATTATAATTACTTAAATAAAAATTAAAAAAAAAATGGAGATGATTATAAATTATAATTACTCCTTTGAATGTTATTACTATAAGAGAAATATTCAACATAAAAAGTTACTCAACCTTGAAGCCTTGCTGTGACGGTTCATGTCTTTTCTTGCGCTTAGTTCTTTTCTTTTCCGGTTTTGAGAACTGGACGGCTTGAAGTCTGTGATGAGATGACTGCTCATTACAGTTAAATATTCAAGGTCCTCATCTAAATCTAACACATGTTAAAATATAATTTTGTTGTTCTTAATTAATTAAATATGAAAGATGTGTGTGTTCCAATTCTTGAATTATGGTTGCGCTTTTATAAGAGAGTATCTGCTTACAATCAATTGATTACCAAAAAGTTCAATGTACATAAAATCTTTTTATAGTCATAACGGTGTCACTAATTAATTTATTACTATGAAAAGTAAAACCTTTATAAAATCATAATGGTGGGACTAAATAATTTTATTACTATAAGAAAGTTATAATTTAATAGAGGTGTAGTTACAAAAATTTCTTATTTTATAATTCATATTTTAGTAGTACAATATTAAGATTTCAATTCATATTTTAATAGTATTATGATTTCAATTCAGCGTTTCAAATACCTACTTTTTAAACGAATAGAATATCGTATCTTAGAACAGCAAAGATAAGTGTCCTTGATGAAATTGTAAATACAATTGCTGCATGGGTTAACTGATATGAAGCCATAGATAATTGTTAATTGTTTTAAGCATTACAAGGTTAGGCCCCCTGATGTCGATGAATTACAAGTTATAAATAAAGTGGATGAGAAGAATCAAAAAGTCATTGTAGAATTGAG